GCTTAACAAGACAACGCTGCTTGAAAATAACATCATTAGAAACCAAAAATGGTTTTTTTTTAATTACACTAAACTACATTATTGCGATGTTACTTTAAATACCAGAAATACACAGGGTAAAATGCATTTGTGAGTGCAGCACAAATATAAAGAAAATGTGTAATGTACAATATAGGAAAGACTGAAAGAAAAAAACAATTCTGCAACCTGCTATAAGCTCGATTACAGTATACACTGTTACTTCAAGAAGGTTTAAGAAAATTGATAATGAAGCAAGCATCAAAATATGGTATTTATGAGTTTCTGAGGAGCATCAGTATTTCCATCTGAGCAGTAATACTGTGAGGAGAGTTTAATGTGGATCTGCTGAAGTTACTGCTAGAGTCTCATATTCAGAAGATCTGGACTGAAGCCGGAGAGCCGTGTAGGTGTCATCAGGAGCTCTGGAGTCACCAGACTGTGAGAGACAGATGAACAGAACAGCCTGTGTTTATATGGATCTGCTGAACGTGAGTGTAAAAAGTGTTTGAGACATTTACTGACTCTGATCGTGCTGTAAATGTCAGATGTTCTGGACACTGGATCCAGAGCTGTGTATGTATCATCACTCGAGTCAGCCGTCTATAGAGAAAGATTGTCTTTTATTTATAGCTCAGTGCAGCAATATCATCAAATATTGCAGTTGTAGATGGAGGTGTGTGTTTGCCTGCTTTTGATTCACGTCTTCAGTTCCACATTCTCTCCGCCTCTTCCTACTGAAAACAGGAGAAAACTATTAAAATACATCAAATAAATAAAAAATACTAAAAGGCCAGAAAAAGTCAATTTTCTCTAGATGTGAGATTAAGTTTGCAGATGTTTTAAATTTACTGAAAAGACTTACATTTAGTGTCCAGACAATCTTAACTCAACTTATGAACACAATGATGATGATGATGAAGATGATGATGAAGATCAGTCCTCCACATCCCGCCACAATCCCAGTAACTGTTTGCAGAGCAGCTCTCTGAACCCCTGAAACAAGATGTTCATGAAGATCTGTTCACACTAGAAACAGATAAAACTGAAAGAGAGTTTATAGTGAATACCTTTAACAGAGACTGAAACAGACTCTGATCTCTGAGATCCATGTTGATTCTGAGCCTCACAATAGTAGCGTCCACTGTGACTGGAGTTAAAGCTGGAGATGCTGAAACTCTGTCCAGATCCAACAGCTGAGCTTTGATTCTCCTTAAACCAGCTGAAGTTCAGAGCAGGAGGGTTTGAGTCACTGCTGCAGCTCAGAGTCACTGAATCTCCCTCCACTATTTCAGCAGATCCAGTTATGGACACTGCGACATTCTGTGGAGGATCTAAAAATGTACAGACGATTTGGAGTCATTACTGATCAGAAATCATTTCAAGGTGCCAGTATTGGCCACAAAACAAAGGTTTGGAACTAGATCTTAAATGTTATTGTAAGCATATCTTATCTATCTTCAGCAACATGTTCTGATTACACTATTAAGTCAAATAGCTGGAGAAAGCCGCATACTTCTATTTTCAAAACAACAAAGAAGTCAAAATACATGGCTTACTTTGAATGGCTGTCATGCTCTTTGCAGTCAGATGGTGTAGTTACAGCATCGACCAGCAGAGGGCTGAAGAGGCCATGCTGACCAGCCAAACCTTTCAGCCATTGGTCTGACAGGCAGAGAGTGACTAAATATCTACTCACACATGACAGTGATGCTGACAGCAGGAGAGGGCAATGTTCATGTCCTCTGACGGCGCAGCTGTAACGGCCAGAATCACTGCGCTCTGACTGAAGCTGGAGTGTTTTGCTGTGGATCTTTAAAGCCTCTCCATTTTTGTACCAGATGAATGCTTCTGTCAGACTGCATGTGGTTTCACAGATCAGACCGACTGTTTGTTTCTCCAGCACCAGCTGTGGTGCCTTTACCTGAAGAACTGGAGAAAACACGTCTAATGTCTGATATTTTGTACAAATAATAATAATTTGGCAAAAGTAGAGATGTAGAGATCTAAACAGTCATAAAGCTACTGTAAGAATTGTTTTTGTTTTTTGTCAAATAAATTATGGAAATAAAGGATAGAAGGATAGAACCAGAAACATTAAGATGAATTCCTTCTTTACCAATCCATTTTTTTGTTTCAGTTTCAGTTACTAATCTGAAACAATACGCTCTCTCATCATTTTCAGTGATGTTGTGCAGTCTGAGGATGGCAGTTTTGCTTTTTCTGTCTTCAATGTATTCAACCCTGTCTTTATACTCGGGGTATTCTTTTAAACTTTTGATCTCTGTCTTCTGTTTCTCACACATTATCCAAAGTGTATCTTTCAATGTAAGCTGCTCAGGGTATCTGTATGAGCATGACATGTTTACTGTGGATCCTTTAAGAGCACATATTGATTTAGTCTCATAATCCACATTCCAGACTTCTCCTAAAACTCCTGTAACACAGAACACAGAGCAGCAAAGCTTGACTTATTTGTACATTTAGCTGAATAAAGTCTTTTGCTAGACGGATGACATGCACAGTGTGAAAAGTGTGAAAAGTGTCAAATGTCCCGCAGAAGGGTGTTGCAGAAAAGCAGAAATGTGCAAACTGAACACATCAGCCTTTTAAAGGTGCTGAATTTAAAGCGATTTCCAAGTAGGTATAACTGCAGGCTGGAGCAGTGGGGTTGGTGAAAGATTAGGGTGTGCTGAAAGGTAAGGGGCGTGGATAAAGGTCTTTCTAATTGGTTAGGGTTCAATTTCTGTTGTAGCATTCAGATAGCTTATGTATGGTAAAAAATTATAATAATTATAATGTATACACACAATTATAGTTATAACTCACCAGAGGCCATCAGCAGAAAGATTAGAGGAAAAGGAAGGATTGTTCTGACCTTCATCACCAATCATCAAAGACCTAATACAGAAGATTACAGTTTAGTGTTTATACTAACATTCACATCTACATATCATCAAATAATCCCAAAAGTATTCATAATCCTATACTCTGATTCTTACTGGTGTTAAATCAATAGAAATAAAGCTTGAAAGCTGAAAAGGTTTGTTATCCCCTTTGTTTAGTTCAAAGTAACAGTTCTGCTTCTCAGAAACTGTCCTGCTGACTCATTAACACCCAAACCTCTGTTAAAATTGTGAGAGACGTGAAGGTGTTAAAACTGTTTGGTCACGTATGTTACGAGCTTCATATTCATCACAGTATTCAATGCCTACAAGTTTGCAAATTAAACAATTTGGTGTCTCCTGAACTTATTCATCAAACTTAATAAAGAAGCGTCCTCTTTTATGCACCCATGGTGATGTTTTACATGTTTTTGATCTGAACATCATGTGATTAGTGTTTTTTACGTAGTTACGTTCTGGATGCCATGATGTTTTTAAAGAAACAATATTTTATCACATAATTTGTGACCCTGGAACACAAAACCAGTCATAAGGGTACATTTTTTTTAAATTGAGATTTATACATTATCTGAAAGCTGAATAAATAATCTTTCCATTGATGTATGTTTGTTAGGAGGACAATATTTGGCCGAGATACAACTATTTGAAAATCTGGAATCTGAGGGTGCAAAAAAATCCAAATACTGAGAAAATCATCTTTAAAGTTGTCCAAATGAAGTTCTTAGCAATGCATATTACTGATAAAAAATTAAGTTTTGATATATTTACAGTAGGAAATTTACAAAATATCTTCATGGAACATGATCTTTACTTAATATCCTAATGATTTTTGGCATAAAAGAAAAATCAATAATTTTGACCCATACAATGTATTGTTGGCTATTGCTACAAATATACCCCAGCGACTTAAGACTGCTTTTGTGCTCCAGGGTCACATTTATCTGTTGTTTAAAAAAGGCTTGTCCTCAGTGGGAACAAACAGTAAAGATGTCATATGGGGTTCTACTAATGCAGGGCCGGATTTACCTCTTTTCGTGGCATAGGCAAAACAAATTTTTGGGCCCCCCTTCCCTATTAATATAATAGGCCTAATATTACCACCCAAGCAAACAAAAATATGTCTTAATCAGTGGAAACCGTTACAGTGTTTTCTATCGCAATAAGCACTTGCGTTCAGTCAATAAAAAATCGAATGTAGTTCTTAATTTGTTTGAGAACTGATAAAGACCATTCCATTAATAGGTGCGGCGACATGGCCACATAACCACTTCGGGAGTGCATCATTTCTCTAATAATTTTATCGGCCTGGAGTCACAATCACACATCAGTTGTTCAGATGATTTGTTTCAAGACATTTGACATGTTTCTGTCCTGAAGTGTGTTGAACTAGCTCATTTTTACACACCTCATCACAAACCTTCTGTTGCAAATTCAAAAACGTCGTTTTAGAGCTAATAACAGAGGCTTGAGCCATTGATATGCAGGCTAACGCAGTTATTAATGCAGTCTAATGCAGTTATTAGAGAGAGAGAGCAAAAGAGAGAGGGAGAGAGATATTAAGTGCGTGTGAATATTTGCGTCTGTGCGTCTCTCAGCAGTATTATATAAAATATTATATATCTCTTCATTGTGTTTGGGGCCCCCCTGGACGAGCAAGCATAGGCACGTGCCTAGAATGCCTATGCGTAAATCCGGCCCTGCCTGTATGGTCTAACCTACTCAAAGCTCAACTATTAGAACAGCCCACCCATAAACACAGATATTTAGGCCCAAAAGCTAAAATCAGTTTCTTCTCTTTCACATCTCTACATTTTGCAAACTCTTTATCAAATAAACTCTCATACCTTGTTCGCAGTAGCTTTCTTCTCCGGTGCACAAAGAGCAAATGGTGAGTTTGAAGACAGAACAGACGTGTTAAACAGAATTGGCAGTGGGCAAAACACTTCCTCTTTTTATGCAAAAGATCTTATTATTCATTATTATGATGTTAATTTCTCTGTAGAATTTAAATCAAAAGTGTAACGAGTTGGTCAAAGACACACATTACAATCTGACCACCAAACGCAACTTTCAGACAGGATTTTATTTTTAGCTCATCTGTCATGGAATCAGAAGCCAGGGCTGCCAACTCTCACGCATTCAGTGCCAGACCGAGCCAATCACAGACATTTCTGTTGATTTCTTGAACACATCTGATTGGCCACTGCATTCAAGTTAGTCAGAATTTACTCACCGCTCAAAACACAAGAGTTCTGCATGCTCGTGAATCCTTTCACAATGTAAATAAGAGGTTCGGTGTAGAGCTTCATTGATTATAGCAGAACTTTGTGAGATCGGGATGAACTGAAGTGAGTGACAGCTTTTTAGTGATTATAAAGGAAGCACTCTATGTGCACGTCACTAATCCATTCAGAATTTGGGTAGCACTTTATTTTACAGTCCTGTTCCTCATGTACATACTATATACTTATTATAGTAATTACAATAACTATGTAATAACTAGGTACTAACCCTGAACCTACCCCTAACCCTAACCCATGTAGTTACCTTGTATTTCCAGAACTTTCTTAGGTAAGTAAACTGTAAGTACACGTACTGTAAAATAAAGTGCAACGAGAATTTGAATACAAATCTAAATCTCTCATCTCTTATATCAAATGTGAGATTTCACTTTCGAAATGGCAATAATTGACATAAATGATAACCGCAGCAATGGTAAAAATATAGTTTGTCAAAACAGATGCACATTAAGCAATGTAAATGCAAACTAATAGATTAATACAAATATTTTAATTTCAAAATATTTTTGAACTGCAGTACGTATTCTCATTGAGATCAAAAGTGATTTGTTTTGCAGCATTAGTTTACATAATTTTATGATAAAAACACAGTACCAGTCATCATACCGTTAACTACTAGGTATAGCTATAGATAAAAGTTTTGGTATTTTTTACAAAACAACCATCATTGGCAGCATTCCTGCAAAAGCACAGAATTGTGGGATATCATAAGCAGTGAAGGATACATCCAAAAGTTGATCCGATGTCGGTATCTCAGGCATATTCTAGAGATGAACTGAACATATTATATCAAAAATAAGATCTTATGTTCATCCTCGCACTCTCAGAAAAAAAAGGTACAAAAGCTGTCACAAATAATATGGAGTATAAAGTCTCATACCTCAGCTTTCTTCACCAGCACCCAATAAAGTGCAAATGGTGCATGTTAAGACTGATAACACTTCCTGTTTCTATGCAAATGCATCTCAAATTATGAGGTAAAAAACATTGTCATATACTTAAAAAGTTACCTGCTTTAAATGGCCTTTAAATATAATAATTTAGCGCTTTCAATCAGCAAGTCAAATCCAAAAACATTGATACATATTTCTGGAGAATGGGGTTAGTTGTCACACTCTTTAGTTTTAGTATTATTATGGTAGGTTTATTTTTCACAAATAGTTTTAGCAATTTACTAAACGTGTGAGAAGTATGTGATATTCACGACCCAGTATTAAATTCAAGGGAAGACTCTGAAATCACTGAAGTGTTTGTACCTTTTTTTTAGCACATGAAATATGGCAATACATTCTGAAAAGGTGAGTTTTGCCCACAGAGCCGGTGTCAGGACTCTCACCATGATCACCATGTCTGACGTCTTCATGTTCCTGCAGTGCTCATGGTGTTGATTTAGACACACATAAATAAAAGCTTGTGTATCTTACTTTTCAAAATTACATTTAAGCTGCATCTTGAATGAGAAGCAAAATGGCAAAACCTTTAAATGACATTATACAGAAAGAGAGAGAGAGAGAGAGAGAGAGAGAGAGAGAGAGAGAGAGAGATCACAGATGCCTCACACTACATGGACCACACTATGAGTTTGCTTGTTTAGTTGGCTTTGGTTTACAAGAGATGTAAGGCATCAGAGTTTTAACTAAGATGGTGCCACATATGCTTAAACAACGCACACTCAAAAACCTGATTCAATGAAACAAAGAATACCAAAGCAAGAAAAAGTCTTATGATTGTCTGGATCTACATAGATCAGTCTAGATCATCTGACGCTGCTGTAAATCACAGATAAATCCATCTCTTGGCTTGCAGCAGATCTGCAAAAATGACAAATACATAAATGAGAGTGAGATCATCACAGAGTATGAATCTTGATGAAACTACGCAGACTTTTAAAGGTGTTGTGCAAGGACTGGACTTTAATGCATGTAACAATACTGTGATCTGTCGGTTTATTATATACTTTCTGGCGCTGTTGCACTTTGCAAATAAACTGACTTCTGTTAAGACAGAATAACTCATGTTTTCTCACTTGGCTTCAGAAGCAGGATGGTGAATTGTAATGCTGGCGTACTCAATCTCCTCCTCTTCAGGTTTCTTTGTGTCTGTATCTCTGCCATCTTGGACAGAAGCATTTTCAGCATCTCCGGATTCAGAGGCCTTTCCTGCAGACGTCTGCAACAGAATCATTGTGGCATAAACTGGACATTCTTTTGTGATTTTACTGCCATCCATGAACATTCAGCTTTGCACATTTGTAATGTTTAAAGGTGTATGATAATTAACATGCTATCTACAGAAACTCATATAAATTCATGTAATTTCATTATTTTTTTCAGGTGATTTACTCATATTTTGAATTATGCATTGCGTGGGTTTGTGTATTGAGGTTAAAGGAAATGTTTGTTTGTTTGTTTGTTTATTTAACAGAAAATACAGGCAATTTACTACCAAGACATTATAAGTTTTTTTTGTAGAATATTACCCACCTTTTTTTGCTCAGTGTCCTTAGAGTCAATATTTCTTTTCTTAGTCCTGTTGATAAATATATGAGGACAAATGCATATATAAAAGTTGATAAAACTGTAAAAATTGTCTTAAACATAAAAAAATAACATTTGTAGATAAAGAATGTCACTTTAAAATAGTTCCTTTTTTTATTTTCACTGCTCAGACCTAAAAATACCTAAAAAAAAAAAAAAAAAAAAAAAAAAATTTTTTTTTTCCATAAAAACAAAAAATCAGTAAGATCCTTTAGGAGCACATATTGAATCAGTTTCATAAATCACATTCCAGGATTGTGCAAAAACTCCTGAAACACAAAACATAGAAGATCAGTGTAAAGCTTGCATTTGCTCAGTTGTAGCCAAGCAATAACATTCAGTTTTGCGAAGTGAGAAGTGTTTACAATACCTGCAGATGAGTAAAGGTTTTGCAAAAAAGCACAAATTTTCACGATGTTGCAGAACTCTAAAAACGGATTACTAGGCTGAGAGCATTTCTGATTCTGCTGAAGAGGGGCTGCTTGAGTATAAGGGATATTTAATGTTTAATATTGCAGAAAGCATTTTAAAGAGATGCTATAACAACTGTGACTCACCAAAAATCATGAGCAGAAAGACGAGAGGAAGAGAAAGAGTCATTCTGACCTTCACCACCACTGCAATCTTCACAGCCATAACAAATGAGAAAAGAGTTATAGGTAGAGTATACAGGACAGTAACAATCACTGTCACACTATGTTAGTGATGCACATTAATATAATGATATTCATAGGTCATTTGTCTTTAATAAAATTATTTATTTGTTGCAATTCATTTATTGTCCAACAGAGGCTTACTGT